TGCAAAAATATTGCGTTCATAACTGTTGCTAACATTCTGAGCCACAAAAAGAAAACAATTATACAACTTCAAAAATATTTTGAGATGCAAAATAATCTGAAATGCATGCGACTGAAATAAATTGCATGGTCACAGAAATCAGAGGATAAAAGCTCTTAAATAGAGCTATAAGGTGAAAAGGATCTAGTCGTAGGCTCCTTTAGAATGAAGGCTCTGTAGCAGCTGCTGTTAACACAAATACCATGGACCGATTAAGGGCCTTTTTGATAGTTGGATTTAAGTAAAATAAATGGTAGGTGAGAATTCCATCTAAAATTCTGATTCTGTACGATGGGTTAAGTATTCAATTTTTTAAAGCATTGTCAAACACACCCTAAGAGTCTTTTCGGAAATAAGAGAGGCAAAAAGAATTAGATGAGACTACGCGAGATGTTGACATAGAACTGTTGTGGGTCTAGTCCAAAATAAGGCCCACATGAGTTCCACATGAATTAAATTCTATCTAAAATAAGATTTGGAGGATCTATTTGTAATAAGAATAGGTTTGGAGGACCTAAAAATAAAATTCTTTTATAAAGGAATTCTATTCATGAGAACCCTGTAAACAATTTTCGGTGCTACAGGAGCCTGAGAACAGTGTTTTTGGGTTGCACGAATTTCGAGAGGAGAGAGGGAAAGTGAGATTCCGGATAGCTTGGTTGTCCGATTACAGTAATTCAAAAGTCATTGTCTTCAGAACGACAATGCCGTCAAGAGTACGGTGTTGGTTTTTCCGGGAGTGTTGAAGATTTTTAGTGAGACGGATTTTAGGGTTTTGGTGTCCTAGAGATAACACTATATATTTCTCTTGTGATTTAATCCTCAAGTTCAGGTGTAACTTGAAGGAATTATACTCTTGATTTATAGTAGAATATTTCTCTCTGGATTGCCACATGGACATAGACACGATTTGTCGAACCACGTTAAATCTTGATGTTTGCTTGTTTGTGGTATTTTCATTGGTGTCGTTATTCGTTTAGTGTTTAATTCCGAAGATTAATCTCCATAAAATCCTTAACAAGTGGTATTAGAGTCTTGGTTCGAGGTGTGCTTTAGGATGGATAAGATAGAGAGTTTTGACACAATAATAAAATTAGATGGTTCCAATTAGCAAGTATGGAAGTCAAAGATGGAAGATATTCTGTATTGTAAAGATTTACATGACCCTATTGAGGAAGATGAAGCCAAGCCAGAAAAGATGACTGATAAAGAATGAGAGAAACAATACAGAAAGGTGATCGGTTATATTCGGATGTGGATCGACGCTAGTGTGTTTCATCATGTATCGAGTGAGACTAATGCGAAATCTCTTTGAAAAAAGCTTGAGGATCTCTACGAGCATAAGACCGCGAAAAACAAAACGTTTTCTATGAGGCGGTTGGTGAACTTAAAATTCAAAGAAGGAAACAATATAGCAGGACACTTGAATGAGTTTAAGAGTTTGATTAATCAGTTAGCTACCATGAAGATCACTATCAATGATGAGCTACAAGCCTTATTGCTACTGAGTTATTTACCAGATAGTTGGGAGACACTGGTTGTGACAGTCAACAACGCAGCTCCAAATGACGTGTTATCGATGAGTATGGTTACTAGTAATTTATTCAATGAGGAGACTCGGAGGAAGTCTACCAACACAGATAACTCACAAGCACTTGTCACAGAGAACAGGAGCAGGAGCAGGTATAGGGACCAGTCCAGAGGTCGTGATACATCCAATGGCAAGATCAAAGTCTAAAGGAATAGGTTGATTTTATTATGAAAAGCCATGTCATATTAAGAAGAATTGTTGGGCATTGAAGAAAGAGCAAGCTGTGAATAAAGATGAAAAGAAAGATGAGAATAAGAAAGCTGACAGTGACACTACAACTACTTTGTCTGAGACCGATGTTATTCTCATTTGTAAGGAAAAAAACTATATGCATGTTACAAGTAGAATTCCGAGTGGATAGTGGATACAGGAACTACATGCCATGCTATCTCTAATCGAGACCTTTTCATGTCGTATAAAGCAAGTGAATTTGGCAATGTGAAGATGGGCAATACCAGCTACTAGAAGATTATGGAATTTAGTGATATACACTTGCAGACAGATGTCGGATGCACATTGATCTTAAAGAATGTGCGACATGTTCTCAATTTACGGCTCAACTTGATTTCAGATCTTAATTTATAGACTGAATGAGATATGAAATTCAAATTGGTAGAGGAAAATATAAAATCACCAAAGGCTCTCTTGTAGTGTCTAGAGGAAGTGTATGTTATAATTTATACAAGACTCAAGCGAATATTTCATATGATTCTTTTAGCGTGACTCAAGACGATGACACTTTTGATTTGTAGCATAGGAGGCTCGTGCACATGAGCGAAAAGGGGTTGCAGATATTGGTAAAGGGAATGAGAGATTTTTTTACCAATATCAATATCATCATCATTGAATTAGAGAAGCTGTTGA